AAGATGTCAAGCGAGCTTTAGAGTTCCCCAGAGTTCTCCATCAGGGTGGATGGCTTTTTAAAAAAGGGTGTGTGGGTTGAGTATCCTAGAAAAGCTCTTTTTCCTGACTGCAACAGTCTTCAAGGAGAAGACTGAAAGTGTTGTTGTAGCCAAAGACTAGCCAAGATCTCAGAATAGCTGGAAATGCGCCATCAAATCACAATTGGCTTATAGTGAACCCAGAAAGGAGTTTTCAAGGCAAATAAGAAGCAGAGGTGGGTGGCTATTTCCTTTGTGAGGCAAAGCACCCCTGGCCTCCTCCTCAAGGGTTCATGTGAATAATAGCAGGCCTGGTCCATCTTGCAGGTGTTACTAATTGGTCTCTCAGGCCTTATCATCCTCAAGGATGGAAATGGCGTGATTAAGCGTCTTGTGAGAACCTGTGGCCTGGTGGGTGTGGGGAGGAGGGTCGGGGCAATGAGGCAATTTTCTAGAGGCAACTATTTAACCACTGTTCTTTTAGTTAATTGGTATATCAACACAATCTCAGATCAAAGATTTGCCCCAAATAAATATTAGCCAAGGATAAGTTTCTTGAAACCTGAAATTAGCAAAAAAGATAATTTAATTTGACTCCAAGAAGGATCACAGAACACCCCTCCCCAAAGATGGGAATTAGGTATATAAAGGTCTGGAATTGTAGCCACAGAAGGGGTCGAGGTTTTTCCATCTCAGTCTCTCTCTGCTGTTAAGGAGACAATCGTTAGCTATGATCTAATCACTGTTTCTTTTTTTCTTTTTTTCTTTTTTTAATAAAGGTTTTATTGGCTCCCCTAAAAAGGGGAGGTATTTCGCTTAAAAGAAAAAAAGGGAGGGGTAGACAGTAGGAGAAAGAGAAAGCTGAGTGATATATAAACTGGTAAATTAAACTGTTAGTAATGTCCAATTAATCTTCTTGGGCTTCTTCTGTGTGTTGCCAAACTTCTTTTCTTAGTCCTGTTACATGTATTCTCTGTTAGTATGTTAGTAATGTTCCTTTGAGATTCTGTTAATAAAAAGGGTCTCTTCTGTGCACATTCAGAACCGCTTCTTGCGTGCTGGGTACTTTTACTATCGCTGACGTGGAGGAGCTTCCTCTGTTGTCTTCCTTCTGGCTTGTTAGATCCTCCTTCGGGTTGTTGTTAATACGCTCAGTTCATGTACTATAAATCCTCTTCCTTTCATGCCTCGGAGGTCCCCATTTTTGAGAATGGTATCAATTTCATTTTCGCTTTTATATTCGCTCCCAGACTCTCTATGGGTCCTCCTCGCAATTGTTGACTTATAAGCGCTTATCAGGCACTTCTCGCTGTCACAATTCCAACTTATCTTTTTTGCAAAACTCCCGTCGGATTCACAGCCATAAACAGTCCAAACATTCAACAGCCGGCTCTTGCACACAAACAAACGCCCAGACGGAAGTCCCTCCCTCCTTCTCCGCTCGCTTTTGCCCAGCTCCGACATCTTTTCTTTTTTGTTTACTTTTAGAAAGTTCTTAAAATGTGCTCCAGAGAGACAAGTTTCTCGCTTTCAAATACATCAAAGGAAAACATCACTGTCCGCTCAATTCATCCCCCCCCTCCTTTTCTTTTTCGCTTGTATAGATGGAGGATTAACCTCTTCGCCTTTTTCGCTGGGAGGGGGGGGAAACAATTTTCAGTTCTTTTTCTCTGCATTTTGACAACTCACAGTTAAGCCGATCTTTTCTTTTTCTTTTCCACTTTTGCGGATGGTCGCTTTATCACTCGGTGACGTCTGGTGGCTCCGCTAAACCCCGTTCGGGGTCGCTCACGCAGCAAGGTCCATTGGGGCAGGGCATGGCGGGAGCTCGTGCGGATTCCCTCCTCCACCGCGGGCGGGCGAGACGCCCCTCGGGAGCGACCCAAGGATGCGTCCGCCATTCGCGGGAGCCAGACCGGAAGCCTCTCTAATCACTGTTTCTTAATTCTCTGTCTCACTTTATGGCCCACCGTCCCCATGCTGTTCCTTCTTATTGCTCTGATAATATTCCTGGTTTCTTGACTTATCTCATGTGCACACATCCACACAACTCTACCATGGAATAGCCATCAGTGAGACGTAACTGGGCATCTTACTCATCAGTGACTTTAGTAATTGTTGAATTAGGACTTAACCAAAGCAGGCATGAGAAGTATTCTATTTTCTCTTGCCAAATATTTTGATTCGCTTCTGTCTCTCACTCATAATCAAAGTTAACCCTTTTAAAACAATGGTTCCATTATGTTATGGGGAAAATACCACACCATTTTGCAACCTTTGTATACAAGGGCTGAGCTCCCGAGATACCCTGAGTCGAGGAGTGCATGTGTGAATGGCCACACGCAAACATGTATGTCCCCCTGGCTCCAGAGTATCATATGAGTGTAGTCAGAGGTCATTCCGGGGGGGGAACGCAGTTCCCCTGGGTGAGGTGCAGGGGGGCGGGGCACATGATGAAGCCCCGCCCCCTGCTTCCGGCCGCCCCGCTTCCAGCCCTCATTCAGCCAGGAGGAGGCAGGAGAAGAGGGAGGGTAAGTTGCTTCCTCCCCGCCTCTCCCCACCCCTGCCTGCCTGGGGCCAGGGAGGGCCTTGGCGGGGCTTCCTCGCACTCCCGCTGGCCTTGCAGGTCCACTGCCTGGCCCCTGATATCAGGAGGTGTGGCATATGCTAATGAGTTCCCCTAGTTCCCCTAGCTCTTTTTCTATGAAATGACCCCTGAGTGTAGTGGTTAAGTGTGTGGACTCTGATCTGGGAGAACCGGGTTTGATTCCCCACTCCTCCACTTGCACCTGGCTGGATGACCTTGGGCAAGCCGTAGTTCTGACAAGAGCTGTCCTTGAAAAAGAGCAGTTTCTGTCAGAGCTCTCTCAGCCCCGCCTACCTCACAGGGTGTCTGTTGTGGGGAGGGGAAGGGAAAGGAGTTTGTAAGCCGCTCTGAGACACCTTTGGGTAGTGAAGGGCGTATAAATCCAATCTCTTCTCTTCTTCTTCTCTTCTAAACAGAAACGACCCACTGAATTGTGTGTTTACCCTGGAGATTCCAGGTGGGCCCTGGAGATTTTCTGGAATTACAATTTATCTCCAGAATTTGTTCTACTGCTTCAGCCCAACACAGCTGACCACCTGCAACTTTCTCCAGCCAAAATAATATTTGGCTACAAAATGATTGATTGGCAACAGGTGTGTGTGTGTGGGGGGAACAACCTGACCCGAAGACCAGAAGGGTTCATGCGTGCGTCAGTGACTGTTCATCAAAAATTGTTTCCTTTCTGGATCACGCCCATCCCTACTCAGCACTATTTCATTCCCAACAGTGGTGCGGGGGGGGAGTGCGTGGGGGGAGGTAAGCCACTGGGAAATCCCCTGAGTTTTGACTCAGAGGGCAAAGAAGCCAAGACCATGCGTAATACAGCTGCTTCCCCCAGATACATTACAGATTACAGGATTAAGAAACTAACATTACCCAAGCAGCAGGTCATGACCGAGTGGAGAAATTTATTCTGCCGTGATCATACAGTTGGAGTTTGAGCACTGATTTTTGAACATGCACTGCTTAAAAACAATATGTGCCGTTTTTACATGAATAAACTCTTGCATTTAAAAGAACAGTTTTGCAGCTCAAAACTTTGCAAGTACCTAGCAGTGAACTCCTAAATGGAGTTGTACCTTTTAAACTTCAATGATATGGTTGGGTTTAGAGAATGATAACTTTAGTTTAGGATTGTAGTGATAATTCTGAAATATTTACCTTGAATCCCCAGTTACCCAGACATTCCTGCAGAGGGATTCCCCCCCTATAATGAACTTCTGACCTATGACTAGTTTAACCAGCTATTTAACCTATTTCTTGCTTCCAGATATCCAGACGAGGCAACAAACACACAGGAAATGCAGCAAGGTTGAGTAAACGTGGAAAAACACCATGTTAAAACAAAACACACAATTCCGATATGCTACTGTGCCTTCATATATTCATTTAAATCATATACTTCAATATACAATAAAGACCCTAGGGTATCTTATTAATTACAGTACATTGATAACAAAAACCTAAAGAACAATGTATATCTTGTAGAAAAGTCCACAGCTACAGTGACGAATATGCAGATAGGATTCAATGCTGTAGACTATCTTGCTTCCTGATGAGAGTTGCAGCAGTCGTCAATGCCAATATTTTAGGCTGTTTTGCCTTCTGAAAAGAGGTACAACAAGCATCAAAGCAACATGCCTCCCAGGCAAAAGTTGCGTGTTTTGAGGAATTCTTCTTCAGGCAAGTTATTTTTCCTGGAACCAAAGCTCACAATGGTACGATGCCCAAGTCAAACAACTCTGTAGAAGGCTTCTCAGTAGCTGCGGCCTTTTCTACAAGATATATATTGTTCTTTAGGTTTTCGTTATCAACGTACTATCATTAATAAGATACACTAGGGTCTTTATTGTATATTGAAGTATATGATTTAAACGAATATATGAAGGCATAGTAGCATATCAGAACTGTGTGTTTTGTTTTAACATGGTGTTTTCCCACGTTAATTCAACATCCAGGCAAGGCCTGGAGATATCCTGGAAATTACCTGTGATCCCTAGACTACAGAGATCAGTTCCTCTCAACAAAATGGCTGCACATATACATAACAAAACCAATATTTATACAGGAAGGTCCTACGAATGTGAATGTGAAACGCCCTCGTATCCCAACCAGACCCATGACATGCAGCTGATGAAGTGGACTCCGGTCCATGAAAGGTTATGCTAGTATATTTTAAAAAATGCATTAGTCTTTAAGGTGTCACAAGGTCCCTACTTATTTTCACTCTGTTTTCTAGTTTGTATTTCCTTACAGCGATGAGTGGTGGGAAGGGAATGTGGGGAGAGACGCACCTGATATGTGCTTTTTAAGGAAAGTTCGTGAGTGCTTTCGCTTTCTAGACGGTGCACCCAAAAATAGCTCAGAGCTTCCGATAAATAGTCTGCCTTCCAAAGCTCAGCATCCAGTCTTCCCTTTCCAGATACCTCTGGCTGAATCTCTCCTCTCTTCAGCTTTCCAGGTGAGTTTCACAGACGCAGGTTGTCCCTGCTTGCTTGGTAGATGCTTCAGATTTCAAATATGATTTAAACCAAAGCTTATCTTGGCTTACCTAACCTTGCTGACCACCTGAAACCTTATGGAAACTTTCTGTAACTGTTCTTTGTGATGTTGTTGTTCTACAACAGCTAATCAAACAGCAAATCATAGCAGCTGTGAAGGACAAGTAGAAGTTGTTGGTGGTTGTTGAATGCTTTTTGGATCACGGAGACCATCCAAAGTAAGATTTTTTTCTTCTGCCTGGAAAAAGGTAAGAGCAACTTTGAGGAGGTCAATCCCTCCCCATCCCCCACTGGTGGCCAGGGGGACCTGGCAACTAGGCACATAGCCAGGATTCTGTGGCTTGTGGGGCAATTTTTTTTTCTGGTGGGGCTGAAGTTCTCAGTGCAGAAAGAAAAGCTATTGAGCCAATAGAAAGCTGTTACCAGGATAGATCTCTGAATTGCAAGCTGTCAACCACTTCAGATGACAGTTCTCAGCTGCTGCAAGTTAATCACTTCTGCCAGCCTAAGGAACAATACTGATCACAAGCCGGCAGGTGGGGATGATGACTTCTGTAATCAAGAAAGCTAACACTTAGGCAGAAAAACTCTCTTAAAGGAGACCAGATTCTTGACACAGAGTTAGAAGGGATCGTAGAGGTCACCTACTCCAACCCCCTGGCTCAGTGCAGGAGTTAGTCAACTACAGCACCCCACTCTGCTTAAAGGAGCGCACGCCTTTAAAGATGTTTTGAAATGACTGGAAAAATCATTTACAGGAGGAATTCTTGTGGGGCTGTGCCTCTAAGAAAGGGGCGGAGCCCCCAAATGCCCCACTGTAGCTACGGGCTTGCTGGCAACCCTAGACTTCACATTTACAGGTTTGGTATTATTTTAAACATGTTTCTGGGTTTCCTTGCCAGTCTGTTATAGCACAATGTGCTACAGTCCTGTTACTCCTAATTCTATTATGTATACTGGCAAGGCAGGACACAAATTGAAAATAATAAATAAATAATAATAAATATCTTTTACATTGTAAATATGATTCATGTTAATGTACGTGAACTGTGTGAGAAAATCTGGACTTTGTTTTCTGGAAGATTCCACATCATGATCATGACAATATGTGCCCCGTCTGCTATAGCTTTAACTTTCTTTTGTTTATACCAAACAGTTTATTTTCAGTTTGATCTTCTAACATTTATATACTTAAAGGGACACCATTTCTGTTATTACGGATATTAGAGATAGATGATGCAATGGCCATCTCAAATACTTGGAGACATTTATTTGGTTAAAAATGTCAGTTAAAATCCCCCATTAATTGAGTGGGGTTTTTTTTAAATCCATTTTTATTGATTTAATTGCAGATCCATGGAGCTTAGGCACCTTCTTGGAAGAGTCATGGCTTTAACTTTGAATGTCCTGTGCAGTGGGGGTGGGAGTGTGGACTAGCTAGCCTTCTGACTCTATGATTACTTTCCTTCCTGCTGTGACACAAGGGGAGGAAGCATAATTCCGTCATGCTCTTTAAAAAAAGGGGGGGGAATATCACTCCAGGGGCCTCAAGTGATACAAGCCGTGTGTGTTTAGGCCTCACCAGCCTCTTTGGGGCAAAATAAAATAGGGTCAATGTGGGCAGGCTGTATGGAGATTCTGGACAGGCTAGGCATGATACAACAGCATCTTCCTTAAACTGCCTGAGCTTCTATGGCTTCAACCTGGAGACCCCGAACTAGGGACCAAACCCTCCAGCCTAGACGTGGTTTAAAGGCCCAGTGGGGTTGCCAACCCTCAGGTGGCACCTGGAGATCTCCCACTATTCCAATTGATCTCCAGACAACCAAGAGCAGTTCCCCTGGAGAAAATGGCTGCTTTGGAGGGTGGGCTCTGTGGCCTTGTACGCTGCTGAGGTCCCCCCTCCCCAACCCTGCCCTTTCCAGGCTCCACCCCCAAATCTCCAGGTATTTCCTAACCCACAGCTGGCAACCATGAGGTTCGGTAACCTATTCCTGGCCCTCACAGAGGCCATTTCTGCAACTGCCATTCACAGAGGCCAGCCCCCGGTGAGGTGAAACGCGAGCATTCTTCGCAGAGGCCTCAATCAAGACACACCCTTCCCACAGGCTAAGTCCAGCAGGTCATTATGATTTCGAGCCTCATCTCTTTCCTTTTCCTTCTCGCAGGCCTCCCTGTCCTTGCATGATGGTTCCAGAGGTCTACATGGAAACTCCCATCTGTCTAATCAATAACAGACCTGATGGGAAACTTGTGACGGAAGAGAGAGCCATGCGCCTACTTCTGGGTATCCGCCAGCCGGTGGTGGTGGTGGCCATTGTGGGGCTCTATCGCACTGGCAAGTCCTACCTCATGAACAGGCTTGCTGGCAAAGGAAAAGGTAAAAAATGCAACAAATACACCTTGGGAAGGAGAGAGGGAAGAGGCACCTGCACATTGGAAAGGCCTGGGCAGCAACATAGGGAGCCAGTGGTGGTAATAATGAAGTTCTGTACCTAGCACCATCGGACTACGTGATTTCTTTTGTTTATTTTAATATACTGCCTTTCTGCCAATGCTCTTAAGGAAGCTGAAAAATCCTGAAACACAAAAATGACACATGCTGAGGATAAAAACAGTTCAGCATCAGAACTCTTTCGGGTTGCTGCCCTCTATGTCTGCTGGTAGGGTTGTGAAGTCTGAGTTTGGAAATACCTGTAGATTTAAGGGCCGGGCCTGGGAGGGTGGGGTTTAGGAAGAAGAGGGAACTCGGGAGGGTATAATGCCCACCTTCCAAAGCATCCATTTTCCCCAGGAAAAGAGGAATAAATGTTTAGATTTTTTTTAAAAATCAATCAATGAGCGATCTATATAGTCCGGAGATCAGTTGTCATTCCAAGAGATCCCCCCCCCCCCAAAATGGAGGCTGGCAATCCTCGGTGACCTGAGCTTCCTGGCCTTGGTTTCTCTCCATTTGCCTTTCCCTCAAGGCACCTAGGCCTCCAGGGTGACCCTGGGAAGATGAATGAGGAGGTGCCCATGCTAAGTTCTCCATGCTCCTGCTGGCTGGCTCTTGTGTTTCAGAGAGCCAGTCTGGTGTAGTGGTTAGGAGCGTGGACTCTAACCTGGGACAACCACTCCTCCACCTGCAGCTGCTGGATGACCTTGGGCAAGCCATAGTTCTGTCAGAGCTGTTCTCCCAAGGGCAGTCCTCGAGAGAGCTCTCTCAGCCCCACCTACCTCAAAGGGCGTCTGTTGTAGGGAGGGGGAGGGAAGGGAGATTGTAAGCCGCTCTGAGACTCTGAGTGAAGGGTGGGGTATAAATCCAATCTCTTCTGTTCTCTCACTTCTTCAGCTAGGCAAAAGGGACTAGTCTAGGACAGAGGTCATGAAGCCTTCTAAGCCTGTGGCGGATTTTGAGTTGTGGCGCAGGATGGTGGCTGCAACTAGAAAGTGGCCACCATGGGAGATGGAGCCAACCATAAAATAACCACCAGAGGAGGCAGAGCCACACACACACACACAAAGCCCAAGTGCAGGAGACAAAATCAATAAATCAATGGTGCGACCTCATTTGGAATACTGTGTGCAGTTCTGGTCACCACACCTTAAAAGGGATATTATAGCTTTGGAAAAAATGCAGAAAAGGGTAACTCGAACGATAAAAGGGTTGGAACACTTTCCCTATGAGGAAAGGTTAATGCGCTTGGGGCTCTTTAGCTTGGAGAAACGACGACTGAGGGGCGACATGATCGAGGTTTATAAGATTATGCACGGGACAGAGCAGGTCGAGAAAGAGGTACTTTTCTCCCTTTCTCACAATACAAGAGCTCGTGGGCACTCCATGAAATGGCTGAGCGGTCAGGTTAGAACGGATAAGAGGAAGTACTTCTTCACCCAAAGAGTGATTAACAAATGGAATTCACTGCCACAGGAAGTGGTGGCGGCTACAGGCACCGATGGCTTCAAAAGGAAATTAGATAAGCATATGGAGCAGAGGTCCATCAGTGGCTATTAGCCACAAGGTATAGATAGGGACTCTGGGGCAAGTGATGCTCTGTCTTTTTGGTGCTTGGGGTGGGGGGGGGTTAACAGTGGGAGGGCTTCTAATGTCCTGGCCCCACTGCTGGACCTCCTGATATCACCTGGTATTTCTGGCCACTGTGTGACAGAGTGTTGGACTGGATGGGCCATTGGTCTGATCCAACATTGGCTTCTCTTATGTTCTTATAAAAGGACTAATTTTAAAAATACACTTGGGAAAAGGAGTGAGAGAAGAAAACTGACGCTCTGGTGGCACTGTGCTGTCAAAACAATATTGTTCTAGTCTAAACAGCCTGTCAGATCTCCAGCAGGCAACCTGGCCTCACTCACTTTCTAAAAACACTTGGTAGATGCCAGGAAAGGTATTGGTGGGCACTATGGGCACTGTGTTGTGGACCCCTGAGCTAGAGCTCTATAGAATCACAGAATCACACAGTTTGAAGGGTTCGTAGAGGCCATCTAGTCCAACCCTCTGCTTAATGCAGGATCAACCTACAGTATCCCTGACAAGGGTTTGTCCAGCTACTGCTTAAAGACTGCCAGGGAGGGGGAGCTTGCCACCTCCTGAGGCAGCCGATTGCACTCTTGCACAACTCTAACCGTAAAAAAGTTTTTCCTAATATCCAGCTGGTATCTTCCCTCCCTTAATTTAAACCCATTCTCGCCAGTCCTCTCCTCTGATGCCAACAGGAACAGCTCCCTGCCCTCCTCTAAGGGACAGCCCTTTAAAATACTTCAAGAGAGCAATCATGTCCCCCCCAACCCCCTCTTCTCCAGACTAAATATATATGCACTAGTACGTCTAAGAACTTCTATAAGATCACTTAGATTTGGTACTTCATTCCCCAAAGATTAAATAGGTGTTTTGGACTAAATGCTCATGAATGTTGGAAATGTTCCAGTTCTTTACATTTGTGGTGGGAGTGTCTGTTAATTATTAACGCTTTCTGGAAGAAAGAAAATGATTGTTGAATTTAACTGAACGTTGAATCTTCACATATCGATTTATTCTAAAAATGTGTTGTTATATATGCTATCTGCTTACCGTTGAGTAGTCCATTTGAATATAGTTTTGGATTTGATTCTAGCAGCTAAGGTGCTGATTGCTAAAAACTGGTAGTCGCAGAAAGTTCAAAGTCTGAAAACTTGGACCACAAAGGTGTGGCAGATAACTGAACTTTTAAGATTAAGCGAAGTGATTTTTTTCTAAAAGAATGTTTTATTATGATTTTGTGAATGATACATTCTTAATCAAAGAAGTTATACAGCTCGTACAACTGAGATTAAAAACAAGATAGTAGTACATAAAAGAACACGAGGCAGTTAAAAATCACAGCAATATAAGAATGTTGGATTACACCATACACTAATTTTTAAGTTTTACCACATACATAGTTCATCTATCAGGTGAATTCAGGGGTCATTTTGTAGAAAAAGAGGTGCAGGAGTTTATTAGCATAACTCATTAGCATAACTTATTTGCATATGCCACACCCCCTGAGAAGTGTATCAGAACGCAACACCGCTCAGGCTCCACTGGGCTGTTTTGGATTGCTAGCTATTGGGAGGGGGGGGGGACATGCAGATCTGTCCTTGCAGAGGAGGGAGAGCTTGTACCTGAATAAAACTTGGTCTTAAAGGTGCCACTGGACTGTTTTGGACCGGGGGGCTGGCTCTGCAACTTACCTGGCAGCTTCTTGCTCTGACTGAGGGCTGCTGGGAGCAGGGGGCGGGGCTTGTTGCATGTGCCCGCCCCCTGGGCTCTTTACTGCCGGAGCTCCGCTCCTGCGCGCTCCTGCAGGAAATGACCCCTGGGTGAAGTGATTTGATTGAAAGATGGGGGATAGGAAATAGCTCTTTTCTTTGGCTTTTCTAAGTTATAGGTGGCATCAAACAAATCTAGAGATAAATTTTCCGGCCACGCAACCTGGAAAATCTACAGCAGCTAATGAACTCCAGCCGTGAAAGCCTTTGACAACATAATGTATTTAATTGTTTCACATTATGATTGAATGACGGCTGGGTTCTGCTTGTAAAACAGGAAAGTAGGTTTAAGTCTTTTGGCCATTTTGTAATGTATGTTGTCGGTTTATATGTGCTTAAACAATTCAATCAAAATATATTTGTTAAAAAACAAGGACCCGATAAAGAGGGCTTGAACCTCAGAATCTTTTTCCCTCCTTGAACTGAACTGGCTCTCTCTCTCCCCTCGCAGGTTTCCCTTTGGGTGCCACTGTGCAGGGGAAGACCAAGGGCATCTGGATGTGGTGCCTCCCTCACCCCCGCAGGCCCGACCACACACTGGTGTTGCTGGACACGGAAGGCCTGGGTGACGTGCAGAAGGTGAGCAGAGGTTGGAGGGAGCTTTATTGGCCACTGAAACGCCAGTCAAGGAGCTCTAGAAATCTTGTTGTTTAGCGGCTTATGTTTTAACGAAGAGGAACATGCCATCGAGTCAGAAATGAATCCATCTACAGCCGAGGTGTCCTACTAATTTGTTATGAGGGCCAGATCAGACATAAATATCATTTTGTCGGGCCAGGCCATGTGTGCCATAAAACGTAATGACAGGTACTGGACATATAGACTGTATAAAGGACAGCAGCTGTTAAGCTCTGAGTTGGTGTATCCTCACTGCAAGGCCCCATGGGCTGGGAGGGGGGTGCAAAGGAAAACCCACAGGGGCTGACTGGAGAGCCAGCAGTGCAGCACTCGGCAGACGCTCCCACGCTGCTTGACTGCTGAAGATGAGGCTGTCCCACCATGCTGAAGCCACTATCAGAGTGGCTTTGCCCACCCCACCCCCTAAACAGTCTTCTGTCCCCTCCCTTGCACTAATGGCTTGTGGGCCACATAAGAGCCATGGAAGGGCCGGTTTCGGCCCCTGGGCCTTATGTTTGACACCCCCGATCTACAGGATGTTCCAGGCAAGAGACAAGCCGGGATGGTTTGCCATTGCCTGACACTGCACAGCAACCCCCAACTTCTTTGGCAGTCTCCCATCCAGAAACTGTGCCCAGCCATACTTTGCTCCTCAGGTGCCATGAAATTCTTTTTGTCTGTTTCAGGGAGACACACAGAATGATTCCTGGATCTTTGCACTGGCCATTCTGCTCAGCAGCATCCTGGTCTATAACAGCATGGGCACCATCGACCAAGTGGCCCTGGAGAACCTGCAGTATCCTTTCGGGGCATCGGAAAGTGGAAGCGGGCTCTGATGGTGGAGACGGAGGAACCCCTGGGCAGCTCTAGGTGGCTGGTTAAGGGCAGCACTTTGTGGGAGGCAGTGGCAGGGAGAATGTTGTTGTTGTTATTTAATATATACCCCAATCTATCCCACGAGTGGGCTCAGGGCAGCTTACAACATAAAATCTGTAAAACAATCAATCAGTTGACCTTTATTGGCATAACGTTTGTAAAACAATAAAAACCAATAAAACAGCAGATGGTGCAATACGAAATAACAAAGAGAACCCACACCTCATGTCAAGTGGATATAGGTACCCCAAAAACCTCCAGTGCCCAAGTAATGTTATCTAAAGCAGCAGGGCACCGGGAAGGGGCCATAAACAGGGGAGGCCAGCATGGCTGAACATTCGCCGCCTCCAGGGCCGGCCCGTCAGAGAATTTTTAGGCAGTGGCCCCTTAAGGGGGGGGGTGCTCCGCCTGC